CAGACTAAACATCAAAGGAATTACATGACAAGATCCATCTCACTCTAAGTTTTTGGGTAAGTTGTAGAATCCTGAGAAATTATCATTGTATTTTAATAGGCGAAAGGTTCTATTTCTCAAAATACTGCAGAAAGATCAAAGCAGGGAAGCAATAAAGGAGATGCTGAAAAATGCCATTGTCAGAGCAACCAAAATGAAAGAGAAGTTAGCCAAATTCTCAGAGAGAGGCTTTGTAAAAATAATCTAATAGAAAAATTTTATTCATAAAATATCAGAGATGAAAGAAAGGGAAAGTGGGATGGACATTGGGCCCCACAAGACAGAGTTTTATTAAAAAAAGATAGATAATTTGTTGATCTGGAACTCTCAACTTCCTCGATTTTATCATCATTCTACACGTGGACCGTGAAATACATGTTCCGCTGGTCGAATCAGTCCAATAGTAGACCCGCAGTCTCAAACCCAATAAGAGTGAAGTCAACATCAATTTTTACAAAACCTACCGTTAGTTTCAAAAAGAGAGTTGTACCGGAGAAACTCTCTTTTGTTTTTATTTTGACATGATTTTGATGAAATGTAATGTTCACAAACATGCACTACAATACAATACCTTGAATGTACAATACATTTTACATATTTAAATATTCAAAAAATAAAAGAGAGAAGAAAAGTCCAATAATAACTTGTCTAAAATGATTTCCTACTAAAAAGGCATCATATTTCTTCAAAAAAAAAAAAAAAAAAAGCAACATATTTCGCGATCAGTACACATTTCTCTCTAGAAGATCAGTTAGTGTTACAATTAAACAAATGGTGTGAAGGAAACAGAAGCTTAGTAATTATGCATTCTATCATTTACAATACAACAACCACCCTTAGTACAAGTATGAAAGAAGAGGCCACAGCTTAATATAGAAATGCAAGAAATTAGACGGGCTTTCAAGGGAGCCGAAAAGAGAGGTATAAGCTCTGCAACATTTAAAAAGGTTAAGAATGGCAAGCAAATCTGTTGATATCTAATACTAAAGTACAACTCAGGTATGGTGTCAGATGGTATTTACATGTTCTAGATGTTAGTGGAGCTGGAGCGGCATGATTTTTGCAGGCACTTATTGGTTAGGAATTTAATTTTGGGTAACTAAGGTGGGAGGCTAGAAATATGAAAACCATTCCTAAGCCAGACAAGCGAAAGTTTTATTCCCACACGATGCTATAAATCCTTTTTACTCCTTATACCTGTTGGAACACCATAACACACTGGCGATGCTCCAATTAAGTAAGGTAGTATACATGCTTCACGAGCTTGACTCATGAATGATCCAATCATTGGTCTATGATCACAATCAACAACCGATTCCTTTTCACAAGCGTCGGGCAGTTTCTTCCTTTGTACTTTCTTCTTGGTATTACCTTTACGGCCTTTTAAGCTCATGGCTTCAAGTTCTGCCACTAAGCTGCATTTGGCACAATCTGTAGACGAACTGAGTCTCTCTTTAAACCAAGCGTCGAGCACGGCCTTCCCAAATCGATCAATATCCTTATCCGTGACTTCCCACAGATTGGCAACAATCACAGGAGAACCAGCTAGTAGATAGGATAATGGAGCACCATTTGGAGCATAACAGCCATTGAGTGTCAAACAACCACTACTGCAACCCATAAGGACAGTCGCAGCACAGTTTTCCAGTTTTTGAATTTCATACCTGGATATATATTGAGTCCCTGTACCACCACAAATTCTAAGCCAATTAGTGGAATTTGTGCAAAAGCAAATGTTCTCAAAATCATAGCGCCAGAGGAACTGCATAAACAGTAAATATAACAATAGTTATGGGTATAATAGATCATACCACTTCCATGCCCGAAATACAAAAAGAGATCATGACTTTTCAATGCTGCTGCCAATTCTTCAGCTGTGGGTGCTTGTCCAGCCTTCCCCTATATAGTAAATTGACAAACAAATGACTTGTGCATCTAAATTTCATTTTATTTTTTATAAGAAACAGAACATAATCAAATATGATTAAACGCACACAGCAGAGGAGAAGGAATCCTCCAATAAAATATGAGAAAACTAATTAATTAAATATGATTAAACTGCATACAAGAAAGGAAGGAATCCTCCAATAAAATAAGATAACAAAACAAAATAAAACTTCAACAGGGGATTAATGGCAATCACAATGAGGAAGGGTAAAAACTAAAAAGTACGTCTTGAGAGGGACAGAAACAGACAGCAATTAAAATTTTAAACTACAGAAGTGCAATACCATTTCAATGATGGTGCTTTTAAACCACACATTTTTTTTCCCCCTTCTTCCAACGAAAGGATATGGAAATTACCTGAAAATTTTGATCTCTAAACCAGTTCTCAAATTCAATTTGTGTGCTGCTGAGATCACCACCGGGATTCAACAAATAAAAAGCATCTAAGGGATCAATAAAGGGGAACGTTCTAGTTTGCCCTTGATTGTGGTAGCTTCTATCAAGTCTTGTCAAGATGCTCCAGACAGAAGGCATTCGATAAACCTCTTGGTTTCTTAGTATCGGTATATTTTCCCATGGAAGCATCTGCATGGTCATTAGTTGATCAGTTCGGACAATAAACCACTAAAACTGAAGTTGTATGGTGGCTTCTTGGTAAAAACTTCAGATCAGGCGTAACTGAAAATTTTGAGAATTTCTTTTTGATAGTAAACAAAAGCCTTTATGATGAAAATTAATCAATACAAGGTGACGAGGATGAGGGATCCTCAAAAGCGGAAAGTAAAACAATTTCGACTAGTAAGAAAAGTTAGAGGGATGCGTTGAGTCATTGAGATTTAGAAAATTTTGAGAATTTCATAGAACTACATTGCTAAGGAAGGATAGTAACTTAATTTTTGCATAGATACAAGAACCAAAGGTGATAAGATCATGAAAAATTAATCAGAATAGTTTGGAAAAGATGAAAAGCTATCTCAGGTCGGAAGTTTGGGCTGGTCTAGTTCAGTGTTCTATAGAGAGATCAATTAAGCAAGATCTTAACCAAGTCACTTGGGTGGATTCGATCACAAATTCATTACGAAATTTTGAAAACGAAGAACTTGCCTGTACGTCAAAGTCCAGTACTAACATTATTGGTTCTCGGGTCATACAGTCCTCGCCTTCAAGCTCATTTATTGCTTCACGTATTAGTTGCAAGGCCAAATCAGACGGTTTCTCGATGCCACTAGTGTCATTAGGTGATGGACACCACTTGTCTTTCTCACGACATTCAGTCCTACCAATATAGCAACCTTTCCTTAAGCATAGGTGTAAGACAAATTCCTCTTCTTCAAAGGCATCGTTTGGAGTCCCAAGAATAACTTTAAGAAGACTCTCATTTACATTCATTTTGCATTTTGATTTCAAAGACCGTGCCAACTTCTTATATACCGAGTCCAAGCTCTTGCAGTTAGAGCGTTCTCCGAGAAGTATGTATTTCCATGGTCCCCACCATGAATCTTCTAAGTTCCTAATGCAAAAAATAATACAATAAATTACAATTATGAAATTAGTTCTCAAGACTTAAAAGAACCAGAGTACTAGTCTTTCTTGATTCCCAACTGCCATTCGAGAAAGCGTAAGGTAAATGATCACAATTAAGCCTTTGCAGTTAGAACAGCTTGAGTACTAAAATGAGGCATGACAGACGTGCTTCGTTTAATCATAAGCTCATGCAAGCTCAGAATTGGTAAAAGGAGAAAACAAAAGAGCCATAAACTTGAGGGGAGTGATAAACCCTACCTTAGGAATTCACCAAGGCGGTAATCAAGTTTCTTTCTCAATGTCCACCATAACTTCGTACTCTCCTTTGTTTTTTCCAAAGGAAAATTTGAAGACGAGAGGTAATTTTCCTCCAAGATCAGTTTAAATTCTGGAGCCACAGCATCCACGATAGTTGAACCCCAAGGACATTGCCAATGCTTTACCAGATTTTTAGTTTCTGAACTATAAAAACCAGACATTGCAGCATCATCTGGAGCTTCTAATAAAATGTTACCATTATTCAGCAACTTAAAAGTAGAAAACTTACAATATATTTGGGTAATAAAGAAAATTTCTAGCTTCCACGCGCGTGTTAAGAAAATACCTGCTGATATGGAATCCACAGGGAGAAGGAGAACAATGGGTTGACTTTCAGAGTCCAAGCGTGACACTAGCATCCACGCACAAACATACGAATGAACATCTAGCAGCTTTTGTAATAAATAAGTATAAGGACCTCCAAGCAAACTTATACAAATTGCAGTAGTACAAGGGAAGCCCACAAAAAAATTCTCTACAAATTCTTCAAGATCTTGAATAGACTCAGGTGCAAGCCTGAAAGAATAGTATCAACAGAAACAAGAAACAAAATATGTTAGAAATAATCAGACAATTCCTACTCTTCCATCTGTCAACGTCACAGCAAAGACCTTAGTAAGTTCCTCATCTCTGCTCCTAAGCAAGTTGATCCAGTATGACATGAATCCTGATGTCAAATCCAAATTTGTTACTAAGTAGTTTATAAAGCACACATAAATGGGGATTAAGGTGATTATAAGGACATACCTCAGCATCCACAAGTTGTTGAGCTTTATATATACGGTTATGATTTGTAGAGAATTGATAATTAAGATGAGTACCAAGTGAAGCTTGGTGAAAAAATGAAGCCCAATGATTTTCAGAGAGTGCTTTGCAAGAAGACGATAAAGAACAAAGATCACCAGAGGCAGCAACTAAGAACAAAACAGCAAGTAATCTAGAAACCTATAAAAAGCCAAAGCACACAAAGGTTGTTAAGCAAAGATCAGTAACCTTTGAGAGTAGTACTAATTGAAATTCAATAACAAAAACCAAGGTAAATTAGGAACAAGTAACAGATCAATTATAAAAGTTGAGACAAAATTCTTGCTATATTTCGAGACCCCAAAAACAAGGCAACTTGAACCCATCTGATAGAGTAAAATGCTTTAATTAGGGGGAGAACACTGTATCACCAAACTCTACGATGACATCTGATATGTTAAAATGCTTCCACTTAATTTGGAGGAAAACAGAATATCTATAATTCCAAACTCTACAATGACCAATAAATACCTAAAGTTACATCATAATTAGAGCCACCATAAAATTAAGTGAGGATTATAAATTTGCACATCATTTCACCAAGAATTAGCGCTACATTACTAGTTAGAACATACTTAGACCTAGCACCAGTCCCTAAACTCAGATTGTAATGCAAAACCATGTTCTGAATTCCCTTTAAATGTTGAGTTAGAAATCTGAAAAATTAAAGTCTAGACAAAAAGAGCACCAAACTCGTTAATTTCATTTAATGCTGAAGTAACCAAGGACATATTCTGATCACATGATTCACGAGCAGTTTTAAGCTTCCATAACATTAGGCCTCATGAAGACCATCAATGGCAGAAAATCATAAGCTAATAAACAATGTCGATTAATTAAAATATGTTGAAAAAAGTGATCTTGTTAGAGTCTCACGAGTTTCATTGTGAAGTCGATAAGTCAAAGTAATCTTGTTATATATTTGATTCATGTCTGGTGAGCATAATACAAATTCCAAGCTCAAATGTTTGAACGCCATGAGTACAAACTTATTTCTTCAAAGCACCCATAATAGATATAAGATTAACACCACAGGAATACTAGAACTCTAATATAACAAAAAGAATTATCACAAAAATTGTAACGAACACAAATACCTTCTGAAAAAGTATAGGAACTTCACGGCATAATACAAAAACATGCATCAGCCAGGTCACAAGTTGTGGTAGTTGAATATGATACAAGTCACAGCAACTAACTCTATTGCATAACAACAAACCACAAAGAGCATGACAAGAAGTTAGCTATAAAAGTAATGGCCAAATAAATTATAACAGCTACTATAATTCTCATATTGGAAACATAAATACATAGATGTGGTTATGTAAAGGCACACGCGTGTAATTTACGCAGCAAAGCAATTGTGAAATTTATTACCGGGGATCCTCACTTTGACATCTATCCCTGATAATTCCAAATAATAATAAAAACAATAATTATTATAATAAACATTCTTTTAGACAAATTTAATAATAAACATTAAATAATAATATCAATAGTAATTATTATTTTTATCTTCCTTACTACTACTATTATTAATGATAAAGAACTCCTAGATGAGGTTATACAAATAAGCCATGAACCAGACAAACCCGTTCAACCAAACGTATTTCAATTGGGCAGGGTAGATTTTATTTTTCTTTAATCTTTTGGTCGGCCACTGAACCTAATTCAGATACCAGGTTAAACATGCGTTTTCTTATCTTTTTAATAACAGATCACAGCAAATAAAACTACTACCAATAAATTTGTACGAGAAACCAAAGCAAAAATACATAGTGGCTGCACTAGCCAATAGATGCCACATTTTCAAACCAAAGAAAAGGCCAACTTTACCATTTAATACTTATAAGCTATATTAATACTGAACTGAATATGGAGGAAAAACTGTAAGAAACGCGTTGTAATTCATAGTTATATGTATTGTGCAAGAAAATTTAGTTCATATCTATAACTGAACTGGTGCAACAAATTATTCTAGATAATAAGGAAATAAGAAAACAGGTTCATCCCTGCAAACTTTTTTTCTTTTTGCTGAAACCCTGCAAACTTATAAATAACAAAATAATATACAAAGTAAAACCTATTGCACATTTTACCTGTTGTCCCTAGAACGGTAGCCTTTCAAAGAAAACCAACTTATGCTGTACAGTATTTCTGCACGCTCAACACTGAAAATATCTCCTGAGATCTCCTTCCCGACTATATCAAGCAAGAGACTGAGGGAAACGTATGAGGGTGTGAGATGGAATGAATCCTGATTGGCAAGGATTAACAAACTCTGGATAAAAGTTTTATGTGCTTCATGATGTTGATCACGATTCACCAAGCAATTTCCTGAAAATGCACAAATATATATTCCTCTCAGGGTTGGGATGCCACATACACACCCAAAAAAATAAAAAAATAAAAAATGTTATAGCTGATGATTCAAAGGGCACTCTAGACAGTCTGGTTGGGAGGCTTGTGACTGCTACATAGAGGTTTTGTCCCAATTTCCCATAGTTTATTGGGGCCCTGCTATGTAAACATATTTTCCACCATGAAAATGTTCCATAGCCTGGAAAGCTATCAGTTCTCAGTTTTCACAAGTCACCTCAAAGAATAAAAATAAGAAGCAGATTAAGAGGTTAGTGTCAATTGGTTGTTCTCTAAGCAAGAGCAAACGCTCATCAATCACTTGTTTTTTTAAGTGGAGTTGTGGAATTCAGAAATAGATCTAAATACGAGTGTAGTGCTTTTAAAGATAACTTTAGCTTTATAGCAGTTTGTGGCATACTAAATACATTCTACATTGTTGTTGTTCTTGTTGCTGTGTTGTTGTTGTTGCATTTTTCCTTTGGAACAAGAAATTATTGGTCTTTAATGATGGTCATTTTTCTCTTATGATGATTTTTTTTTCCTGGAAAAGTTCCTCATATACCCTTTGTGGTTTGGCATTATCCATGAACAAAAGTCATCACAGATTTTGCTGCTTCAAGATGTTCGACTTATGCTTGTTTGGACTATATTTCCAATTAAAGAGGATTTTGTTAGTCCTTTTAGTTCTTCTTAACAATAGAAATAGTTTTGGAAGGTGAGCTTAATTGGAGTAATCATGTCTGTTCATTTTGCTTAATTGGAGTAATCATGCATGTTCATCGAGTGGCGCTATGACAGCACCGCTTGGTGTGACAACAACAAGCAAACCGAGGCTTGCCCCACCATGGCAACGTTCCACCATGGCATGGCAATGGCTTCACGGGGCATGACGAGGCTCAATTCTTAAGAACCGAGGCTACCGAGCATACCGAGGCTCCCCGACGTGCCAACGCTCGCCAAGGCATGGCCGTGGCTTCATCACATAGGCACAACAATGATCATTTTTTAGGGACAAAGCATACTGAGGCTCCCCGGCGTGCCAACGCTAGCAAAGGCATGGCAGTGGCTTCATCACGTGGGCACAACGAGAATCAATTCTTAGGGATCAAGCATACCAAGCATACCGAGCATACATGATTAATCGGAGTAATCATGTCTGTTCATCAAGTGGCGCCGTGACAATACCGCTTGACATAACAGCACCAAGCAAATCGAGGCTTGCCCCACCGTGCCAACATTCCACCATGGCATGGCCACGGCTGCACGGGGCACGACGAGCTAAATTCTTAGGGACTGAGGCTACCGAGCATATCGAGGCTCCCTGACTTTCCAACGCTTGCCAAGGCATGGCCATGGGTTCATCACGTAAGCACAACGAGGATCATTTCTTAGGGACCGAGCATACTGAGGCTCCCTGGTGTACCAACACTCGCCAAGGCATGGCAATGGCGTCATCACGTGCGCACAACGAGGATCAATTCTTAGGGATCGAGCATACCAAGCATAACGAGCATACTAAGCATACATGATTAATTGGAGTCATCATGTATGTTCATCGAGTGGCGCCGTGACAATACCGCTTGACGTGACAGCAACAAGCAAATTGAGGCTTGCCCCACCATGCCAACGTTCCACCACGGCATGGCCACCGCTTCACGGGGCACGACAAGGCTCAACTCTTAGGGACCAAGGCTACCAAGCATACCAAGGCTCCCTAACGTGCCAATGCTCGCCAACGCACGGCCGTGGCTTCATCACGTGGGCGCAACGAGGATCAATTCTTAGGGATCGAGCATACCAAGCATACATGATTAACTGGAGTAATCATGTCTGTTCATCGAGTGGCGCTGTGACAGTACCGCTTGATGTGATAGCAACAAGCAAACTGAGGCTTGCCCCACCGTGCCAACGTTCCCCCATGGCGTGGCCATGGCTTCACGGGGCACGACGAGGCTCAATTCTTAGGGACTGAGGCTACCGAGCATACCAAGGCTCCCCGACGTTCCAACGCTCGCCAAGGCATGGCTGTGACTTCATCACAGCCATGGCTTCACGGGGCACGACGAGGCTCAATTCTTAGGGACTGAGGCTGCCGAGCATACCAAGGCTCCCCGACGTTCCAACGCTCGCCAAGGCATGGCTGTGGCTTCATCACGTAGGCACAACAAGGATCAATTCTTAGGGACCGAGCATACTGAGGCTCCCCGACATGCCAACGCTCGCCAATGTATGGCAGTGGCTTCATCACGTGGGCACAACGAGGATCAATTCTTAGGGACCGAGCATACCAAGCATACCGAGGCTCCCCGTCGTATTATTGAGACTTGAGAGTTTTTGCGTTTCTATTTCTTTCTTGTCCACACTGTTTTTGGTTTTTGCTTATGAGGATCTCTCATGCTCGTCTCCTTGTATTGATTATATTTCATCAATAAAAGGTTTTGTTTATTATCAAAAAAAGAAAATAATAATAGGAAAATAATTTTGTGGAGACTTCATATGCAGTTTATCAAATTCAGATTTCACAAAGTAAGGTGCCATGTTTCTTGATGCTCGGTTTCCAACATTGAGTAAGCTTGCTACAAGCTGTTAATGTATGGAGAGAGAGTAATGTTTGCTGCAAATAAGCTCGCTGGGTGAACTTATTAATTTGTTTCTATAATGACTGTAGCTTCAATGCAGCAATCAAAAATGTAAACTAGATAGATAGAAGTTTCCAAAATACTTTGCCCTCGTGGGAAGGATAATTTTCATGAAGATAAAGCTACTACCGCTATATGCACCTTGGCTGAGTGTATTTATCCTCTTTCCTTGGTTGTTATACTCTTTATCAACCATCTACACCATACATGCCACCGTGGATAATGAAGCAACTGATTAAACCATATAACAAGCCAAAAACTGGCTCTTTTTCCTATATTTTGACTAAACACCTTCGCGTGCCACAAGAACCTAAAAGAACTTAGGGACCTCTGAAGCCATAAGTCACTTAAACAGCGCTAAAATATCAGACTAAGGTTCCTTAGTTGCTTACGATATTTCTCGTCGTCTATGCTTACAATATTTCTCGTCATTAATGAGAAAGCTACGGGGATGATAATTAGTATTAGGTAATAACTTCTCTTTTCCCTTACCACTAGACAAAACTTGAAAGGCTGAAAAGCATAACCCTTTTTCTTATAATCAATAAATTTGTAGTTTTTTGTTAGGTATTTATTTATTTTCCTTTCACAAGAAAATTAAGAGGCGTCAGCCTTAATAATTTCAACGCCTACATTTTCTTTTTCCTGCTTGTTTTAGTCCTTTTCACTATAAATAAAATTAAAGGGGGTGCGTAAACAATTTAGCTTTGATGTGTGCCTTTCTACCATGTGCTCACATTCCTGCAAGTGCAAGCAGCTAAACAATAAAATGAAGTAATACCCGTACCTAAGCTTCTGAGTAGATTTAGCAAAAGCCTCCGGCGGACAAATTCCCACTTCATATCTATAAACTTGTTGAGCCGTTGATCCTTGATAACTTCAATCTGAAGACAATGCCAACACCTCATTTTGTTGCATATGCACCTGTCCTCATACCCAAAAGCAACCTCACAACTTTTTATTTCCAACAGCATATCTCTCTGACTAAAAATGCCAGAACATTCATTCTCACCACTGCCATCATGTTTTACATTGCCAACTTCTACATCACTGGAAATGCTCCGGCTCTGAGAACATCGGCTCTTGGATCGAGTTGTTCTCAAATTGTTATTAGGAATAGAATCTTGATCCGTCAATAGAGGTTTTGATGCATTCCGAGTCTTTCTACACTTTTTAACTTCCTTATTTTCTTTTGGGCCCTTCCTGGAGGGCTTCTTTACATCCTGCTGATTTTCGTTAGTGCCAGCAAAAGCATTGCTAGCACCATGATCAACATCTTTTACATTATTCTTTTCAAGCACTATGCTCCAAGCTCGTGCTGCGTCAGTAAAACGAGCACAGGTTTCCCAATCAGAATGATTTAACTTGTCAAGAACTACTTTGTACAGAACTTCAGCACGAGATGAACTCTCTATAGATGTTCTCCCAATAGAATTATCAACAATGCTTTGGAATAAATCACCAAGATTCTGATCAACAGTTATCTCTAGCATCAGTCTGCATTTTAAGCAAGAAATTTCTGTCTCACAAGCCTCCAAGTACTGTTTGGCACTATGTAGTTCTCTTTCTGCCAAATCCCATAGTTGCTTCCTGCCGTACAATTTACCTAAAGCAGAGCAACACAAATAGAAAGTTGGGTGCTTACATCTTACATAAATGAAGTAGCGGATAACGAATTCTTTATTACAAAAAGGAATAAAAGGAAAAAAATAAAAAATAAAAATTTGCTGTCATACCCAAAACAGAAGAGAAAGAAATCATAAATAGTGGAAGGTTTTGTGAATGGGCGATACTTTTTCCCCACAGATAATAACCTTCAGCCTCAGCTCCATTACCAATTAGTTCGTAAGCGATACCAACCTACAGTTTAAATGAATGTTCAAAAATAAAAACTACAAGGTATTAGTAAAAGATAGTCTATGATTATGCATTGAATTCTAAAATTATCAGGATAAGCGAAACCTGAAGGGTGCTTTCAAGATAACATTGAAGTATAATCCATGGACTAAGATAACAGCTTTCCAAGTCCAAAGAAATAGTATCAAAGGACCAAAATTCATTAGCAACTGATCTACGGACTTGCAGATCATGAAGGCTGCAGGATAACTTCTGAACAACATCCCTAGTTTCGTTGGACTTTTCAGGCTGTTGTTCCACAGAAAACTTAAATTTCTCCTCAAACATTTTGCTACGTAACCGGTGAGCTTCTTTAGCATAAGTAAGAGCCTGGAGAGTACAAAGAACTCATCAATAAAGAGAAATATATGTTGTTTTAGTTTTCACAAGGACACATTGTCCTGTATTCTTTGTACTGATTTCAGGATCAACAAAGAATGTCTCCTTTGTTTAATAAGAAATCTTCCTTTCATTGATAATAAAATCACATACAAAGTAAAGAGGATGTGAAATCCTCAATTAAACAAAAAGAAAGACACAAATACAAAAGAAACAAAAGGAAATACAGAAACAATCAGAACATCAGGAAAAAAAAAAAATTACCGGTCTCAACTTAAGATCAAGCATTTGAAAATATTTTTGAAGTAACATAGAATTGCAAAATAAAAATTTGATACACGTTGCCTTTAACATACACCCATTTGAAATAAGTCTTTCACTCAAATAAAAAAATACCCACCCTTATTTTGAAGCAAGAACCTATGAGAAGAAGCTCTTGCATATCAACTTGGTTACACAACTAGGGGGCAAGTTTTGGACATTCCTAGCATAGGATTTAAAAAGAGAACAAATAGCTGGAAAAAAGGAAAAAAAAAAAAGGGGGGGGACTAAAGAACTTAGGAATTTGAACAGTGGGGCGAACCATGATAGAAAGAGGAAAAATATTGAGGGGCAAAGCAATTTAAAATGAAGATTTTGTCTTGGAATGTAAGGGGAGTGAGGGTAGAAAGGAAAAAGGGGGTGATCAAAGAGACTTCGAGTAACATTAGACAGGATATAGCTTTTTTAGTTTTTACAAGAACCAAAAGAGTGGCCTGATGAAATGTTAGTGCGTAGTTTGTCAAGAGCCAGATTTCAAAGTGGCATAGCTCTTCCTTCTATGGGAAGATCGGGGGGATTATCATCATTTGGGATTCTAGAAACATTTGGGTGAGTAAAAATCTTCTTGGGCAGTTTGCCATTTTAATTAAAATAGAAAATGGGGTTTCTAAGATGGTGGTTGTCGGGGCTGTATGGTCCAAACTTGTACAGAGAGAAAACAGGTTTTGGGAGAGAGTTGGTGGGCGTTTCTTTTTTTTTGGGGGGGAGAGTCAGCAGGTGTTTCCTAGTATTTGCGAGTCAGAATACCATAGCCTACTATCCAAAATGGATTGCCTAGGTGAGAAAGAGTCCAAGATTTACAAGGCATGATGTTTCTGATCGCTCAGTGCATAGAGAGAGAGAGAAAAGGAGAGAGATATGAAGAATACCAAAAAGACGAGCATACTCAGATGACACTAATGTTCTTCATAATACAAAAAAAATATAAAAAAAGGCTACTATTGGTCTCAACTTTTTTTTTTTTTTATAAGAAATGAGAGACTATTATTAAAAATGCAAAAAAGGAACAGTACAAAAGAGACGAGAAGCCCCTCCGAGCACAACAAAACAAAAGAAGATCTAACAACACAAAACTAATGTAGGATTAAATCCCAACCCCTAAGTCTGAAAAGGAAAAAGCGTTAAATCCTTTAACTTGATACAGCCACAACGCCACACAAAATTTAACTGTCCCATACTATTGGTCTCAACTCAAGATGAGGTATTTGAAAACAAATCTTGAGGTAACGTGGAATTGAAATATAGGTCTAATGCACATACCTCTGTTATACGTCCATTTGAAATGAGTCTTTCACTCAAATCAGAAAAAAGATATCCAGCTACAAAAGCAGAACTGGATGCAGGATCCTATAAAACAATAACATGAAGTATATGTTAGGACGTGTTTAACAAGAGATAGGAAATTGTGATCGGAACTTGAAAGGACCTTACATTTGAGATGAGTTCATAAGCTGCATCTTTCACTTCATCCACAGTAATATCTGTTCGAAAACAGCTTCCAAAATTGAATGAATCTCGGGGAATGCTCGCAAATAGAAATGAGAAATTGTGTTCCAAGCCAACCAGTAACGGTTGGGATCCTTTCAAACAACTTATCCAAAAATCAATAGATTGTCCATCACAGTGGTCTGCTAAGCTCATCAAGAATGCCTCATTAACAGGTGAAGCGCAAAGGGCATGTCTAAGCCTCCTACATTCCCACAGTACAGCCAAGAGCTTCTCTAATGGGACATTCTTCCATTGAAACAATCTAAACATAATCCTATATATATCATAGTGAAAGTCCATGCAACCCTAAAAAAAAAAGTCAAAAAGCAAAGTGATGTCATCAATACACGTTGAGATCATGCCAAGCATCTATAATGTAAAGTTCTATTTTCCTGAAACTACAGCAGGCAGCAAGATAAAGGAACAAACCTTCAAGGAGACCAAATCAATAATATTATACATTAGAATTATCATATTTTCAAACACTTTAAAGCACTCATCTTCAGCAGCGAAAGAATCTGGAGTAGTAATTCTCAACCACAGCTTTAGTGCCATTCTGATATCTTGAAAGACTTGCTGCTTGTAAGAAAAAACAAAGAAAGTACTTAGTATGGGGAAAATCCACATTCCCAGTCTGTCATAAAGAATATCAAATAACCATCTAATCTCAGAGCAAAAAAATAAAAGAAAATAAAATTAAAAAAAAAAAACTTAAATATCGAGATTGATTTTCTCGCATCAACACCTTTGAACTTGGTTCAGTTTCCTGAGTGCAGAACGCACGTATGCAATATGCCACAGCTAATTGATGACATGGTTGAATCCCAAAGCTACATGGATCACCAGACATAGCCTTCTGCTTCAGCAACTAATTCATGTCAGCAAGAGATCCAACTCCAGGAAGATCAAACGACTATAAAGGTTTAATCACTGAAGAAATGGCTAATTTACTTACAAGTGAAGATATTGCATCTGACAAGCATTGAATACAGTCCTTTAAACAGTGCCCATATGATCTCAATGCCCTTCCCTTTCTCACTAAAATTCTTGATCTCTGTAACCAACTCTCTGGTGTTACATACACATCTTCCAAGAGGTAGCCTATAATTTGCATTTGCATTTTCTGATAGAACTCTGGATGCAGAGCATTCACTTCTTCGTATGCAAGAAGTTCCTGATATCCAAGAGAAGGTAAAATAGATATCTGTGACTTATTAGTTAAGTCAAAACAATGAGATCCTCATCTAATTGAATACGATTTTCTGAAAAAGGACAAAAATCTGTTTCAATGGAACTACAAGCAAAAAACAAAAAGCCCTAACCTGCTCTAAGATTATCCCGACAGTTCTCTTCGACACCTTTTCAGAAGATGACAAAACACTGTACAAGGTTGAAACAGTATCCTGAACATCCACATTCTTATGACTTGTGCATCCAATCTGGAAGATATAAATACCAATAAGTTAACAGCTATAATCATTAGGAAATCAAAACTCTAAGGAAGCTTTCAGATGCTACCTTCACCCACTGCTTCACCAAAGATATGGGACCAGGCAGCTTGCCAAACAGATTTGCAGCAACGGACCAATTTTCCAGGCTCTCGACAATTATCCTTTTCACCTTATGAGTGTCACATTGATGGAGAACATTCAAAAGAAAAGCATTTCTTGTGCATGACTCATTAACAAAATTTACAATAGCATCTTCTGAGACATCATCACTAGACTCATCTTCTTTGTGCAAAAACATATTGCAAAGACGTAGAACACAAGTCCATGACGCTCTACATGATAACGTCAACGCCTCTAATGCCTGCAGAGATAGATGTCACGTTCTTGTAAGATAATGTATGTTTTTATATAATATATATATATATATATATATGCCAAGCATCTATAATGTAAAGTTCTATTTTCCTGAAACTACAGCAGGCAGCAAGATAAAGGAACAAACCTTCAAGGAGACCAAATCAATAATATTATACATTAGAATTATCATATTTTCAAACACTTTAAAGCACTCATCTTCAGCAGCGAAAGAATCTGGAGTAGTAATTCTCAACCACAGCTTTAGTGCCATTCTGATATCTTGAAAGACTTGCTGCTTGTAAGAAAAAACAAAGAAAGTACTTAGTATGGGGAAAATCCACATTCCCAGTCTGTCATAAAGAATATCAAATAACCATCTAATCTCAGAGCAAAAAAATAAAAGAAAATAAAATTAAAAAAAAAAAACTTAAATATCGAGATTGATTTTCTCGCATCAACACCTTTGAACTTGGTTCAGTTTCCTGAGTGCAGAACGCACGTATGCAATATGCCACAGCTAATTGATGACATGGTTGAATCCCAAAGCTACATGGATCACCAGACATAGCCTTCTGCTTCAGCAACTAATTCATGTCAGCAAGAGATCCAACTCCAGGAAGATCAAACGACTATAAAGGTTTAATCACTGAAGAAATGGCTAATTTACTTACAAGTGAAGATATTGCATCTGACAAGCATTGAATACAGTCCTTTAAACAGTGCCCATATGATCTCAATGCCCTTCCCTTTCTCACTAAAATTCTTGATCTCTGTAACCAACTCTCTGGTGTTACATACACATCTTCCAAGAGGTAGCCTATAATTTGCATTTGCATTTTCTGATAGAACTCTGGATGCAGAGCATTCACTTCTTCGTATGCAAGAAGTTCCTGATATCCAAGAGAAGGTAAAATAGATATCTGTGACTTATTAGTTAAGTCAAAACAATGAGATCCTCATCTAATTGAATACGATTTTCTGAAAAAGGACAAAAATCTGTTTCAATGGAACTACAAGCAAAAAACAAAAAGCCCTAACCTGCTCTAAGATTATCCCGACAGTTCTCTTCGACACCTTTTCAGAAGATGACAAAACACTGTACAAGGTTGAAACAGTATCCTGAACATCCACATTCTTATGACTTGTGCATCCAATCTGGAAGATATAAATACCAATAAGTTAACAGCTATAATCATTAGGAAATCAAAACTCTAAGGAAGCTTTCAGATGCTACCTTCACCCACTGCTTCACCAAAGATATGGGACCAGGCAGCTTGCCAAACAGATTTGCAGCAACGGACCAATTTTCCAGGCTCTCGACAATTATCCTTTTCACCTTATGAGTGTCACATTGATGGAGAACATTCAAAAGAAAAGCATTTCTTGTGCATGACTCATTAACAAAATTTACAATAGCATCTTCTGAGACATCATCACTAGACTCATCTTCTTTGTGCAAAAACATATTGCAAAGACGTAGAACACAAGTCCATGACGCTCTACATGATAACGTCAACGCCTCTAATGCCTGCAGAGATAGATGTCACGTTCTTGTAAGATAATGTATGTTTTTATATAATATATATATATATATATATAAGAAACGAGAGAATTTTATTTAAAAAAAAAAAAAAAAAGAGTACAGCAGGGGATAAGGAGTCCACCAAACTCAACAAAAAAACAAAAACAACTAAAAGCACAAAATCAATAGATTTAAGATAATGTACGTTGAATGCCAAATGATTTACAGCAAGATTAGAGAATTTTATTTAAAAAAAAAAAAAAAAAAGAGTACAGCAGGGGATAAGGAGTCCACCAAACTCAACAAAAAAACAAAAACAACTAAAAGCACAAAATCAATAGATTTAAGATAATGTACGTTGAATGCCAAATGATTTACAGCAAGATTTCTTTTGTTCAAGCAATGTCAAAATAAAGGAAGGAACAATGTATAAAGACACAACACAAACACACACACACATATATAAATTTAAAATAAATAATGTATAAAGACACAACACAAACACACACACACATATATAAATTTAAAAAAAAAAAAAAAAAAAGGATTGGGCTTTTTTTGCGTGTTTCTTGATATTTTTATGATATGTAGAACTTTATTTATTAAAGAAATTAATTTGGAGGCTTTATTCAAAAGGGTATAAAGGACATTTGAAGTCGTAAAAAAAGGCACAGGGTATCAGAGCTTTTTTTTTTTTTTTTTTTTTGAAGTATGAGGTGCTTATTTGGTATCTAAACACAGAGTACCAATACACTAATTCGATAAAACGCATGGTTTCAGGATGTAACTTTCCACTGATAAAATGAAGGAAAATTTAAAAACCTAAATCAAAAGGCACCAATCCCCAATCAAATCTAACATATTGAAATTGCAAATATCTTTATCCTCAGACAATCACATAGCAATCCAAAACTTCACTTGCTCCCAAAGTTTGCTTTCTAAACAAGCAAACTTCAAAACGCCTATTTCATCCGAACAATATTGGGCAACACGGGCCCAGAAAAGCAATTAAAACCGCAAACTCTAATCCTAAATCTACCTATTCTTTGATCTTTGTAACAAATAAAAACCGCAAACTTTTTTCTTTATATTTTTCCTCAAACAATTCAAACTTTTTTATTGAGGTGTGATATTAAAAATATTAATTTCAGTTTTATTTTTAGACTATTTAATTTTTATGTCCTTTTATAACTTTATCCATAAAAGTATTACGTTTGTTTTCAGATATACTTGAGATCATACAATATACTATTTGTGTTGGGTTTTGGTGTTAAAAAAATTATGGATGTTGACCCTACTATAAGTAATATAAAGACAAAACTACAGAAAATTGACCTAAGATGACAATACAATTTTTATAAATTTACAATACATGCTAATACAGATATTTAAAAAATTGAGAAACAAACTTTAAAAATTATGGAATCTAATACATGATCAGAGCTATAATTTTTGACATTTTTTCACTAACATAGAAGATGTAACTTTATGAAGACAATCGTACATAAAGAAATCTTTAAGGACTACAAAAACAGCACTTAAAAAGATAAGTGAATAAAAAAATAATAATAAGTAGAAAAATACTAGGATTTAATAATGCTGAAAGTATTCTGACCATTAAGGACCTTTAAGCCAAATAATCTAATTCTTGCAAAATCCAAATCATAAAAATAAAATGTATCATCCAATGTAAAGATACCTCTTCAAGTTGCTTATTCCTATAGAGAATTACTCCAATATTGTATAGAGAGGTAAAAAGATGTTTTAGCTCGTAAGGTTGAATCCATTCACTGGAAATGACATCGTTAAGTATATCCCTGCACTTCTGAAATAAGAAAGGAAGAAAACTAGTCAAACAAATAATATTTTCAAGTCATAAAAAGTTTGAAACATGCATCATCTAGTGTGTCAACCTTCATATTAAGCTTTGTTCTGATGGAGACAATAAACAGCGCTACAGCTATACCTAAAATGCTGTCATCAAATCCATCTTTCTCCCCTTCATAATAAGATTTGAACCTAGAGAAGAACATAATCCAGTGTTATCATAAAATATCTTGAAAGGCAAAAGGCTGAGAAATATATGAACCTTTGTTTCTTTTTTTTTCTTTTCCTTTTTTTTGGTGACTTCCAAATGTTGGACCCAATATCAATGAAATAAATCTGCACCAAACTAATCCTGACAGAAAGGTTCTTCTCCTTCAAGTTCTTTTTTTAAACACACACACACATTTTTTTAAACACACACACACACACATGCCCAACGCTTAATGGTAGAAAGATAAGAAGAATAACAAAAAGTTGTAAGTAGAATGTCATGTAAAGAAAAGTCATCTGCAAAAGCCAAATATGTATTCGAGAGCCAGGTCCAACTGTACCTTTGGCCACTGATACCCCCATACTGAAAATATGATTAATGATTTCAAAAGCACAACTGATTTTTTGCATGGCAAAAGCTAACAGAGTTAAATGTTATAAAACAGAAGATCAAGCTCTTTTGATGAGTATGCATCTGAATGTTTAAAGTTATAACAATCTAATTAATAGCCAATTCATCTTAGGAATAGCAGAGAATACCAAGCCTTGGGCGCAAGTCAAAGAAACTAGTGCACTGGTGAGTTTAACTCTCGGATTACCTCTTATAGAACAAAAAAACATCACAAAACTGATAAAAAGCCTCCTGTACATCAGATAGTCTGCTAGACACAGCTACAGCCTCACTTTCTGTGATTATTTGTTTCTTTTCGGAATTTACTGATTCAGCTAGTGGCAGGCATGTGAACTTCAATGCAGCTATGTAAGACAGAATATAAGCCTTTCCATCCTTATGTGTCCAGCCCATAGAGGCGTCATTGTGAGAAATACATGGCAAACATTTTCGACAAACAAAATCCTTATGACCAACACTGGATGATGCACAGTTTCGTTTGCACCCAATGTGAAAGTGACTTCGTAAAGAACAGACTAATGCAGATAAATTCTGCATAACATCCCCTGCACATAAAGTTCTTACTACACCTCCAGACGATGAAAGATCATTAAACTTGAACTTTGACTTGCAATTAATCAAGAGCAACCCTGTCGCATAAAGCCTCAGAATCAAATGAAAACACGTCTCAACCTGAAAATAAAGTTCACAATAATTTCAACAGTCAAGTCGTGACATTCCAATTGCAAATATCACCAAAAATTTTAGCATACATAAGCAACAAAACAAATGGCATAAACAAGATACCTTATCTTCTGCTATTTTATTTAGATAGGCTCCAATGCTACTGCAACAATTTGGGCCTATTGCTTGACATTTATTGGCACAATAGGCAACCAGTTCAACAAATTCTGTTCCATTATTTTCGAGTTCAACCTGCCAAACTGAGAGTTTGTAAAATATGCTATGGTTCTATAGAGAATAACTTTAGCTTCTACTCTGAATGTCCAGAATATAGACTTCAAGACTGACAACAACATCAGCAAGAGAACAAAAAGCAGAATGAAAGGTCCATTGGTCCAAGACTAATTTCATTATTCAAAAAACTTGAAAAGATTTCACTGTTGTCAGAACACTACAACAAGGAAAACTAATGCAGTAGAACAGATATAATTTGAATAATGCACAAAAGAATAAAATTAAGAGAAAAACTTAAGAGAAAAGACATAAAAAGGTAAGTTTAAATACACATAGTATCTAACGAAAGTCATAGCAAACAGTAAAATTTTTTGGTTCTCCGATAAATAATGATATTAAGAAGATACAAAGAGCCAAGAGAGTAGTCATGTTCTTAATATGTGCTTTTATGCATTATGCAATGACTATTATGACTTCATATATTAAGCAAGGTAACGCAAGTCGAACAGTTCAATCACTTCCAATGATTTACAGAATTTAAAACTTTTTTTAAAGAGAATTTAACTGTTGTGGAAACTTCTCAGCTTATTAATTAAGATAATTATTAAATAACTTTTGTTTAATCTACTGAAGATATTTCCAAATAAATTTTATATAGTTTTACTAAAGCTAAGATAATTAAAAAAGTACCTCGTTGAAAATAATATACCTCTAATTAATTTCATAACATCTTATAATTATAGAATTGAACAATAATAAAATAATTTGTTTTTAGTTATTGTAAGAATTAGGCAAGGAGAAGAATAATCTTTATTCTTTCTGTCTTATTTCAGAGAAAACATATAGGAATTATATAGGCCAAAGGAGACCGAATCTCTTCCCTAAACTAAGGAACAAAATATGTAAATAAGAAAACAGAAAAAGTCAACTATTCTCTAATATTTTCTTTCCTAATATCCAGTGTACAGCTAACCATACCCAAATTACACTCATTCCTTATTCTAATCCCTAATTTACCGACACTCTCCCTCAAGATAGTGCATAGATATTGATCATGCCCAACTTGCTTACAAATGAGTCAAAAAACTGTCTATGTAGCCCTTTGGTGAAGATGTCTGCTATTTGTTGAGTGGAAGGTAAGAAAGGCACACAGATGACTCCATCTTCAAGTTTCTCCTTTATGAAGTGCCTGTCAATTTCTACATGCTTCATTCTATCATGTTGGACTAGGTTATTAGCAATGCTGATAGCCGCCTTGTTATCACAGATAGTTTCATGGGAAGTTCTACTGGTTTACAAAGTTCTTCCAGTATCCTTTTTAGCCAAAGTATCTCGTAAATCCCTTGAGCCATTGCCCTATATTCTGCTTCTGCACTATTCTTAGCCACCGCACTTTGTTTTTTGCTCTCCATGTTACCAAATTTCCCCACAGAAAGGTACAATATCCAGAGGTGGATCTTCTATCTGTCACAGAACATGCCCATTCTGCATCAGTATACACTTCAATTCTTCGTTGGTCACTCTTCTTGAAGAATAATCCTTTTCCTAGAGTTCCTTTTAAATATCTTAAAATCCTGTAAATTGCTTCCAAGTTTTCTTCATAAGGAGCATGCATAAACTAGCTCACCACGCTAACAGCAAAAGAGATGTCTGGTCGAGTGTGGGATAAATAGATTAATTTTCCCACTAGACATTGATATCGACCAATATCAACAGGAACTCCTTCCTTAACCTCTCCAAGCTTTGGATTAGGTTCCATCGGAGTGTCTGAGCGTTTACATCCACTCATCCCAGTTTCTTCCAAAAGATCTAGAATATACTTCCTTTGGGAAATCACAATTCTCTTTTTTGACCTAGCAATTTCCATTCCAAGAAAGTATTTGAGGAAACCTAGATCTTTAATCTCAAATTCAGCCGAGAGACTTTTCTTCAATTTATCCATTTCTTCAATGTCATCACCAATGAGAATGATATCATCCACATAAACAATCAAGACTGCAATTTTACCTCCTGCAGAGATCTTCATGAATAATAGTGTATGGTCAGACTGCCCTTGTAGGAAACTTGAGACTTTACAAACCTTGTAAACCTGTCGAACCAGGCCCTTGGAGACTGTTTAAGTCCATATAAAGACTTCTATAACTTGCAAATCTTTTTTCCGAAACTTTCACTGAATCCTGGGGGAGCCTCCATGTACACTTCTTCTCCTAAATCTCCATTTAGAAATGCATTCTTGACATCCAGTTGATATAAAGGCCAATCCAGATTAACTACAACAGAAAGTAACACTCTCACAGTATTCAACTTAGCAACTGGTGAAAACGTTTCTGAATAATCAATGCCATAGGTTTGTGTAAACCCCTTTGCAACTAGCCGAACTTTGTATCTTTCTAGAGATCCATCAAAATTGTATTTCACAGTGAACACCCACTTACACCCAACTAGTGTTTTCCCTTTTGGAAGGTCAACCTTTTCCCAAGTCCTATTCTTCTCAAGAGCCCTCATCTCCTCTAGGACTGCCTCCTTCCACTCAGGAACTTCTAGAGCATCCTGTATATTCTTTGGAATGACAACACAAGACAATTTTGAGGTAAATGCACGAAATGATGGAGACAGACTCTCATAGGATAAAAAGGTATACAACGGGTGTTTTGTTCATGTCCTAGTGCCTTTTCCTAAGAGCAATGGGAAGATTTAAATTTTCATCTGACTCTGGAACAGAAATTTGTTCAAAAGACTTTGACTCAGTAGGAACAGGACTAGACTCATCTGACTGGACCTCAACCTCTGGATTTGTCCTCAGGTTGGATTCTTGGCTATGCTGCAAGTTGTCGACCTTTCTCTGTTGTCCTAAATACTTCCTTGAATAGAATTTCCCTTTATAGCGATGTCCACCTTGCCTCGCACACATCTTACTTCCTTCTTGAGTTTGATTCTGTAATCGCACAAAAGGTTGATCCGAATTTTCATTATTTGAGACGTCTCCCTTTTCAATGTTTACCATGATTTCAAATTCCTTGTTAATGGTTTCGGATTCATCTGTTTCAATTTTCTTAGGTAAAAAATCTTCCAATAACCAATTAAAAGTTGAATCTTCACTAGATGTCTCCCCCTGAAGATGAGGTGCCATAAAGAAAGGTTTATTTTCAAAGAAGGTTACATCCATGGATATAAAAAAAATTTTGGATGTTGGATCAAAACACTTGTAACCTTTTTGATTTGAAGGATAATCAACAAACACATTTTCTTGCCCTGGGATCAAGTTTTCCTCTATTGATATCATGAATGTGAACAAATGCAGTGCAACCAAATACTTTAAGGGGAAGATCATATGAAAGCCGAGAGGAAGGAAAGCATTTCTGAAAGCAATTCAAAGGGGTTTGAAATTTCAAAACTTTTGAAGGCA